CACGGCTGCAGGAGAGCAGAGGCTGGAGTGGTGGTAGCGCTGAGAACACGGACTGAGACTGCTGCGACAGAGAGGCCCAGAGGCAGAGACCAGCTTGCTGCATGCAGACTCGCTCTGAGTGGACGGGATTCTAGTGATTGACCTGCCACCATAGGAATGAAATTGGGTAACAAACCCTTTTACCCCAAGAACATTTCATTGTCATTCCTCCGTCTCACTGAATCCATAGTGAATTTGCCCAGTGGGCTGAAACCTATTGGCAAGACAGATGTATTTATTCAAAAGGCAAAAAGATTATTTTAAAAATATTTGATACTAGATTTTGGACTTTCTTTTCTTGGATACACTGAGGAACACTGTAGATGATAGAAATAGGAACTGAGTTTAACTTCATTTGTAGCATTATAGTTGAAATAGGTGAATAGCAGAAGCTGTTCTAGATTATCTGTTCATGAATTTTCCATCATCTTTATTATTAAGGAAATCACTCTTCAATGTGCTAAATATAGAGATCTGTCTGCATGCCTGCTTTCCCCATGGCTTTATGTTTAGTTATATGACTAATTGCACTAAAGCTAAGGTTTCCCTTAATTCATGCCGTGGGCATATCCTGCCTTTACATCTATAACTTTACAGTTCATCCTCACTGGGGGGGGGCTGTTCTGAATCCTCTTACCAAAAAATTTTCTTTCACAATATTTAGATGGCTGTCATTCTAATGCAGTGCTTCATTTTCTATAATACAGTTTTGAATTTCATATGTTCTGCTTTCCACATGTTCTTCACACGAGACATTATGGCCATTCAGCTCATCCATTTCCTATTTTTGCAAGACCATATCTAACCAATCCTCTGTATGCTCCTAAGAGGGCTTGTTAACTGCATTTGCTGGAGTGTTCTGCCCTGGAAGTGGGATTCATTTGGGCGATGAGGCTGTTACTCTTCGGTTTGAGGAGTGCCATTTTTCTTACGGTTTTGCCATCCTTTTACAAAAATCTCAGTTCTTATGTTCTGCTGCCACCAGGTGCTCAGTGGCCTCATCAGCAACGTCTGTCACTATAAGATTAGCCAGACACCAGAGGGCTCTGAACGTGTGTTTAGATAAAGTGTACCTCTACAGTTTTAACTGCAAATTTGAATAAGGAATTAGACTTTCATAAGACAAATTTTGCATATAACGTAAAATTAACTAATAGATATCTCATTTCTCTGGATCTAAGATGCCATCAGTTTCTTTTTAAAGACTCATCTGTTTTAAAGACATTCAAAAGAAAATGAATAAATATCTCAGAATGAATGAAATGCAGGAGAAAATGATCTAGGACAGTAATTGGCACAGAGATTTTGAACATATCACTTCTCCTTTCTGAATCTAGTTGTTTACCAGATAAGTCTAGTTTCAATGCTTTTTTTCCTTGCACTTCATCTTGAAATAAGAATATTAAAGGGAGATAGACCTTAACTCTTCAGTTTGGCCTTCTGACAGGGGAGGCAGCTGGTGCTCAGTCAAGACAGATGCCTAAGACAAGTTCATGTCATGATTTAGTGATGGTGGGTCATGGCTGCTCCAGACCCAGTAAAGCAATGTCCATTGCCTGGGAGCTTGTAGAAATGCAGAATCTCAGGCCTCACCCTAGAGCTACTGAATCCAAATTTGCATCTTAATGAGATCCCCTAAAGGTTCCTTTGCCCATTGAACTTCCCAAGTTCTGGTTCAGTGCTCTCCGTCTTTGACTTCACCCAGACCTCATTCACTGACTTCACCACATTTTCCACCATCCCTCACTCCCTGCACCCGACCTAGATGCCTCTGTCCCTCAGTGCCATTCCCTTGCAAAAGCCATTAAGGGACTTTCCTCTTCCTTCTTTCTCACCCAAATCCTCTCCACCATCATGAGGATCTTCCAGACCTGTGTCCCAGGCCCTGGCAGCTGAAGCCTACTGGAGAAATGTGCCAGAGCAGCACACACCCCTCCTCTGACCACCACACCATTAAAGTTCCTTGCATAGCTTCTCTCCTCCCTGGTGTCATGGAAGATTACAGAAGCGAGACCTCAGTTCAAGGCCTCACCTGAGCTCCAGGTCCACCCCTTCCAGCCTCTGAGAAGTCATGCCCCTCCTCTCTGCTCTCCAGTTTGCATCTCCAAGTTAAATTCTGCCCTGAGCTCCGGACCCCTCCTGTATTCTACAGGCTACTGGACAAACCCATTCCCACTGTGGCATCTAGTAGGGATTTCCACCTGCTGTATCCAAACAGAACATTTCAAGCCTTCCTGTCTTCTTACCCCTGGCCCAACCTGTTTCTTTCTTAGTCATCCCCATCTCAGAAAATAGTACCAAAATTTTCATGGTGTGCTCTAAATAGCCCCACTTGCTCAAGCCCCAAACCTGGATTTTTTTAATGTCGTTTTTCCACTGCCACTGCTGTTGTCCAAGGCACTATCACCTCTTGCTTTGACTGGTCTCCCTGCTTCTTCTAGTCTTGACTCCTCTGCCCACTCTCCTGCCCTACAGCAACCAGAATGGTATTTTAAAAACATAAATAGGGTCATATCACTCTGTGACTTAAAATGTGGTTTCCTATTCCATTTGACATAAAACCCACAGGGCTCATCAGAGCTGGCCACCTGCCTGCCTCTCCAAGCCCCTCATAGCTGACCCCGTTTCCTAGTGCCAGCATCCTTTCTATTTGCTGAACAGGCCAGCTGCTTCCAGCCTGGGAGATGTGGTTCTTGCTTAGTTCCACATGGAGCACTGTCCCGGGTCTCCTCACAGCTGGTCTTCCTTCCTCCCTCAGGCACCGGTTCAAATCTCCCCAGCACCTCGGAGCCCTCCCCCAACCACTTCTCCCAAGGAAGGTCCCTCACCCAGCTGTTCTCTATCACTTCACTCTGTCTTTGCAGTGCTCTGCATATTGTGAAATCATCTTGTATATATTTTTTCACTCTTTGTTTTATCACCCCTGCTACTATGTGAGCACCACACGACCTTGTCTGTCTTGTTCATTGCTCACCTTCGGAGCCTAGCACAATGTCTGGCCTACAGAAGTTTTCAGCAAATACTTACTGAACAAATGGATGAGTCAGGTAGGGAGCCTGGATCTCTCTATACTCTGAAAGAGGTGCTTGGAGGTCAGCCTTGTCAGTGTACTGGTGAAGAACTGAAAGCTCAGGTCTGCAACTCAGCACATGTAGATTGAGTTCTGGTTTGCTGCCAGCTAGCTGTCTGACCTTGAGAAAGTTTCTTGGCCTCTCTGTGTCTTTGTTTGTCCATCTGTAAAAAGGCAGCAGTAGTGCATATCTCACAAGGTTGCCTGAGGAATTAAACAGGACTGTGCATTAAATGAGAGAACACATAAGGCCCCTAGCCTAGTGCTTGGCAGAGTAAGTACTCAGTATGTTCTTGCTATTTTTATCATCGTAAATCTTTCCTGCAGAAAATGACTTTCTTTTGATTAACTGTCCTCACTGTATCAATCAAAGTCCATTTGCCAAATACCTGCTTTTCTTAAATATCATGCCTGTTGAGTTGTTTATTTAGTAATGTGTCCTCATTTGGGGCCCAGGATGCCTAATTTTCATAAAACACATGTATCCTACATATCAGGACTTATTTTGAAGGCTAGGTATAGTCTAAGTAATGGATGTTTAGCAACAAAAAATACAACATATTGTGCTCTTGCTCTCAAAGAACTGATCCTTTAGTTGAGAGGACAAGTAAGCAAATATCACTGCAGCTGTGGGAAAAGACCCTTAAAGAATTAGCCATCAAGGCTCCCAAGATTCTTGAGGACCTTCTGGGTATCAGGCACTGCAGTCAGCCCTGGCTTTTCTGTTTCCAAGGCAGCACAAAGGGGCAGCAACAGTCTGAGTGAGAGTCAGCCCAGCTGGCTTCACACCAGTTCTGTGGTCATGGCCCTGTGACCTTGACAGGCATTCACCCTCTCCAGACCTGCTTGGTTTCCTGCCACGGTGCCAGGGCTACATGGTGATGAGACTGGTTTTTATGTGAGGCTCTTGAAATCATTCTTTTATAGTTTGCAGCCCATAATTTGTTTTTCTTTGAATACCACCTAAGTTCCTTTCCTTTCTCTATATGTTTTTATTTTGAAATGTGTCATGATTTAGTGATGGTAAATGAAAAGTGATGGTGATTGAAAAAGCATTAGACTTACCCCAGAAGTTGCAAATAGCACAAAGATTTCCTTCATCTATATTTTCCAAAAGCAAACATTGTACTGCATTTGCTTCATCATTCCTCCAATATATAATTGGAAGAATATATTTCTCCTGAATAAATATTTCTCCTGAAGTGTATTAGAATAAGGTACAAACCCGATGCCTCTTTACCTCTAAGTACTGTGGCGTACAGTTCCCAAACCAAAAACCTTCTCCTATGTGGCACTGTGCAGTGCTCAAAAACTCGAAAGGACATTGATACAGTACTGTAATCTACAAACCCTATTTATATTTCATCTATTGTCCTAATGTGCTTTATAGCAAATTAAACTGCCCACTCCCCACCCAGGTGTTCTGCGAGGTCCCTGGCCCAACATCATATGCTGCATTTAGTTCATCATTTCTCTTTAGTCTCCATTAATCTGGAGCAAAATGAAGTTCCTTTGCTAATTTTTTTAATAACCTTGACGTTTTTTGAAGAGTAGAATGTCCCTCACTTGGGGTTTTTGGTTTCTTTATGACTAGATTGACATTATGCATTTTGGCAAGAATACTACACAAATGGTACATTATTTCAGGAAGTACATGATGATGTCTATTATCTCACCATTGGTGGTGTTAACTCGATCACCGGTTCAGGTGGTACTGCCCAGTTCTCCACTGTAAGGTTACTGACCTTCCTGTAACAATCACAAGCAAGTGCTATGTGGGGAGGTCCTTCGGAACTTTGTGAGTCTCCTGCCTCTTATCCCACCTTGGCCCACTGGTTTTAGCATCTGAAGCTTGCCTGGGACAATCACTGTTTTTCTTTCATTGCCCTAGATTGTGTTCACTTAGACCTCCAGGTCCTCACCAAGAGCCCTCAGGACTGGAAGAACACATCATTCTTCAGACTGGAATTTTATCGGTAAATAGGTTTTTAAGTCTCATTTCCCAGGTGACAGGGATGGGGAAAGGAGACCATAGTAAAACTATGACAATTTATGCCTTGTAATATCTGTTATTCAGGCTTATACAAGTCAAAATCTCCTTTCACCTCAAAAGCATTGATCTACGGAAGATTCATTCCGGAGAGTTACCAGGCTGTTACGTCTTCCAGAACACGGCAAGTGTCTGCTTTGCTGAGCTGTTTCTCATTGTTTTTCTCTACTCCTTGTGTAGATACAGAGTGTGAAACACACCAGCCTATGAATGTGTTAGATGCAGTTGTGTTTAAAACTGTTTGATGATATTTTATAGCACTGTTGACCCAGAGACATTATTTCTGTAATGAAACAAGCCCTTTCCAACTTTAAAGAGTAGATATATGGGTTGAGTAGAGAGGAATGTTCACCATTGGCTTTGATGTCTTACTTTCTTAATACATTTTTTTTAAGTTGATGACAAATGTGAGTAATGTCTGTAATGTTTTTCTCAACTTTTTCAAAGGAAGGGCTTTGTGAATGTAGCAAATATTTTCCAACCTTGAGGCAGAAACTGCCCCCTTGATCTGAAAGCCAGTCTGCAAAAGCTCGGTTGCTGCTTCTTTTATTTTTGGAGGGGGAGTGTTCCATAGAAGACTGTTCACTTTTGTGGGAATCATAACCTCCTTTCTCACTTTCATAGAGTTTCATGCTGAATTAGCTTCTCCTCCCCCTTCTTCCCTCTGCCCCTCTTTCCTCCCTCCCTCCCTTCCTTCCTTCTTTCCTTAGTGAAGGGCAAAAGTTCATTACTGAATGCTGAGCTGACAGTTTTATGTAACTGTCTTTTAGCAACTCAGCAAAGTGCTTCATTCAACAGCAATCAGTAAGTACTTAATGAGTCCCTACTATGTACCAGGCATTGCCAAGCTCTAGAGGAACAGTGGCCCTCAGGAAGCCTAGTGGAAGAGACAGAAAAACAAGTAAGCAAAGAAATAAAATTATAAATTGTGATATGTCATAAGAGAGAGTATCTCTGGCAGAGAAGAGCATTATTAACCTCCCTAGGGTGACCTACGCATTACAAAACACATCACAAAACCCAAAAAACTCTCAGGCAGAGAGCTCAGAGAACTGAACCTGTAAGTGTTCCATAAGTAAATCCACAAGGACCTGAGCATCTCTAAGCAGAAGCCACATTCTGCATAATGTAAGAATATCGCTATGACCAAACCGAGTTTCAAGAATTAAATCTAAGGCCTCATTTCCATACCTGTGAGCTGTGGCAGATCCATCAGCAACCCTGGCCCCCAAGGTCTCATTTTCCCCCAGGAAAGCTCCTAAAATACTTCTCTCAAATCCTAAATTGCTCAGCATACTTCACTTCTAAACTTTTAAAGATTGAAACATAATGTGGAAGATTGAGGGCATTTGAAAATGTTAAATTCAGCCTGTAGCCCTGGAGCAATTTTTGTCACTTCTGAAAGCATTATGTGTAGCACTTGAAGCAAACAGAAAAATAATTTCCAGCCTGGTAAAAACGTAGAATTTCTTACCCAAAGGACCAAGTTGGAGTAAATGTAAATTCTGTTCAGGAAAATAAATGAGGTCATTGTGTTCTTTTATTAAAGAACGGTGAGTCTCAGTTTAGTTCTTGGGCTTGATCAGCTCTTTTGAGCTAAAATTTCTCTGAACCCAAATGTGGATTTGGTAGAACTTCATGTATTCACCCTTTGGACCATATGTTTTTCATTCATAATAGAACACTGCGAAAGAATCATGTGATGAGGACATATTCATCAGTATGATTCTTTTTGAATCAGCATGCGGTTTGGATGCCATTGCTGTTTTATGCAGAGTTGATCTAACAAGTCATACTTTCTGCTGGGCTATAACCTCTCCATACATTTGTGTCTCCAGATTACCTTTGACAATAAAGCTCACAGTGGCAAAATCAAAATCTATTTTGACAGTGATGCTAACATTGAAGAATGTAAGAACTTGAACATATCTGGATTTAGTAAGTATGTTATATGATTGTCCATTGTGGATTATGGATACTTTTTAAATATTTATTTTGGGATTTGGAGTGTTCAAATGGTTTATTTGGATGGTGATAGGAAGAAAAAGTTCCAGAAAACCACATCTTGAGCATTTGGTTCTGTACAGCATATCCCAAAGCTTTGCATTTTTGTTTAATTCAGCAAATGTTGATCACACACCTCTTAGAAGAGGCAGCATGTGCCAGTGGTTAGAAGCACCACTGCATTCTGGTGTCAGAATGCCCAGGTTTGCGTCTTGGTTCTATTTCCTATGCCTGTGATCTTGGACAAATTCCTTAACCTCTTTATGTCTCAGTATCTTTCTCTGCAAAAGAAGTATGATAATAGTACTTACCTTCCAGGAGTTTCTGTATTACATGAGTTGGAATGGAAAGCAAAACTCTGAAAACACGAGTGAGTACATAGTCACTGCTAGGCACTATGGAAAAAGGGAGAAATGCCTTATAAGATATGCCCATAAAAGCTCTAATGTGTCATGAAGAGGAATAAGTGGTGGCAGTACAAAAGGAATGAGAATAAAGAAAGCAAAGGTTAATTTTGGCTGGGGCAGAGTGACAAATGAAATCTGGCAGTGTTTCTTAGAGATGGTGTGCTTTGATCTGAGCATTTGGCAGTGGAGAGGGATCAAGGCCTTCAGAGGCCAGAGAGCAAGCAGGCTGTCTAAACTCAGGGTCATTCACTCAGTCATTACTCAAAATAACACTTCATAATCCACAGTTTAAAATGGGCTTCACAGGACCTGTTCTCATAGAGGGGACAGGATGAGGTAATGACAGGCAGTTGGTATTTTTTAATTTATGAGTTTTGTTTAACTGAATTTGCCTTTCACCAGATTATCAGAACGAAATAAAATATAAAATATCTGTTGCTCTGAACTATTTTAGATTTTTTTTTAGCAGATTTGATTTGTAGCCTGTTACTTTTCAGTTGCATAATGTGTCCTGATGATCCTGGAGTTTTGGGTTCAGTATTTTCATTAACTGACTCAAGGCTCTGATCAGAGTATAGTTTTAATTTCTGTTAAAAAGTGGTTACAGCAGAAACTGTCTACTGTAGAAACACACAGATTAGATGCATGTTTTCCAAGTCCAAGTATAGGTTGCAGCTATTTTTTTTTAATTTTGGTATCATTAATCTACAATTACATAAGGAACATTATGTTTACTAGACTACCCCCTTCACCAAGTCCCCCCAACATACCCCATTAGTCACTGTTCATCAGCGTAGTAAGATGTTGCAAAATCACTACCTGTCTTCTCTGCGTTGCACAGCCCTCCCTGTGCCCCCCCCCACATTATACATGCTAATCATAAGGCCCCCTTTCTTCTTCCCTGCCCCTTCACCCTCTCTTCCCACCCATCCTCCCCGGTCACTTTCCCTTTGGTAACTGTTAGTCCATTCTTGGGTTCTGTGATTCTGCTGCTGTTTTGTTCCTTCAGTTTTTGCTTTGTTCTTATACTCCACAGATGAGTGAAATCATTTGGTGCTTGTCTTTCTCCGCCTGGCTTACTTCACTGAGCATAATACCCTCTAGCTCCATCCATGTTGTTGCAAATGGTAGGATTTGTTTTCTTCTTGTGGCTGAATAATATTCCATTGTGTATATGTACCACATCTTCTTTATCCATTCATCTACTGATGGACACTTAGGTTGCTTCCATTTCTTGGCTATTGTAAATAGTACTGAGATAAACATAGGGGTGCATCTGTCTTTTTCAAACTGGGCTGCTGCATTCTTAGGGTAAATTCCTAGGAGTGGAATTCCTGGGTCAAATGGTATGTCTATTTTGAGTTTTCTGAGGAACCTCCATACTGCTTTCCATAGTGGTTGAACTAGTTTACATTTCCATCAGCAGTGTAGGAGGGTTCTCCTTTCTTCACAACCTCACCAATATTTGTTGTAGTTTGTCTTTTGGATGGTGGCAATCCTTACTGGTGTGAGGTGATATCTCATTGTGGTTTTAATTTGCATTTCTCTGATGACTAGCGATGTGGAGCATCTTTTCATGTGTCTGTTGGCCATCTGAATTTCCTCTTTGAAGAAGTGTCTGTACAGCTCCTCTGCCCATTTTTTAATTGGCATATTTGCTTTTTGTTTGTTGAGGTGCGTGAGCTCTTTATATAATTTGAATGTCAACCCTTTATCAGACCTGTCATTTATGAATATATTCTCCCATACTGTAGGATGCCTTTTTGTTCTATTGATGGTGTCCTTTGCTGTACAGAGGCTTTTAAGCTTGATATAGTCCCACTTGTTCATTTTTGCTTTTGTTTCCCTTGCCCAGGGAGATATGTTCATGAAGAAGTTGCTCATGTTTATGTCCAAGAGTTTTTTGCCTATGTTTTTTTCTAAGAGTTTTATGGTTTCATGACTTACATTCAGGTCTTTGATCCATTTTGAATTTACTTTTGTGTATAGGGTTAGATGATGATCCAGTTTCATTCTCTTACATGTAGCTGTCCAGTTTTGCCAACACCAGCTGTTGAAGAGGCTGTCATTTCCTCATTGTATGTCCGGTTGCAGCTCTTTTATGTGAAGAAAAACTAACCTGTATCTTATATGAAATGTGCTTTGGAGCAGTCATTCTGACAGAATGAGTTAGTCAAACATGTGACCAGGACACAGTTTCCTGCCTCCCCACAGGGCTCCTCAGAATACTGGGGACTCTTCCTTTCCTGGCTTCAGAGGAGAGGCACTCTGGCACCATCCTGGGGCCGGTGAAGAGAGCACACAGACTTCACAGACTGAGCAGAAATGCTAACATTTCGTTATGCTTCTCCCAGAGCTGCGTCCTAAGAAACCTAATTTTGTCACTAAGGGAATATGAATTTGAAATAAAATGATGTTTTCAAAAAGCTTAGCAAGCTGAAGTTTGGAACCAAGCTCTGGGAAAATGGATTTTTGCCAGAGTCCAGCTCCAGTGAGTGCAGGGATTCCCGAAGGATGAACGGCGTTGGCGAATGAGTGAGAACACAGACACTAGCAGAGGTGCTAAGCTGGCCTGGCCTGTTTATTGACAGAAACCTCAAGCAATATGTAGGGGATTGGTTATATGAAATCATCATAAAATCATCATAAGGCATATGTCAGTCAGTGATTTATGGCATAATCTACTTCTCGGAATGTTCGTTCCCCTGTTTTTCCAACTATGAAAGGTCATCATGTTTTCTTCTTTAAAATTTTTCTATTGCTCTCATACCTTTAGATGAAAATCTCAGGTTAAATATCTTCAAGGCATCACAATGTCTTCTGAATGTGTCTTAAAACTTGCTCAACTGGACTCTCACTCAGGCTTGCTGTGGGCCATGTTTTTTCCTTGGTTGCCTGAAACCATTCACAGTAGAATGAGCAGTATTCATTCTATTGACCTTGACTATAACAATGCTTACTGTAATTTCTATAGAAATTATTTATAAGGGAACACTAACAAGATTTTTCCACCTGTTTTCCTTACCCACACCTCATATTAGTCACCTCTTGTTTTTCCTTGGGGCCAAGCTGGCCAGGGAGTTGTACCCTGAAGTCACGTGAACTTGATTCTATTTGCCAGCCCAGAGATAATAACCCACCCACCTGCAGGGAATGTGCAGGGTCACAAGCTGAGTTTTATGGTTGCTTTACGACTGCTAACAGTCTTTTCTCTGGGGGCTTGTTCTGATTCATGAGGACTGTTCATACTGGGGCAACGGTCAGATTAATCAACAGAAGAGAAATCAGTAGCCTCCCCTCTGGAGGCCCACTGTGTGGCATCCATCCATCGGCCTGCTGGGCTGTGCCATCAGGCAGGTGGAATAGGTCGACTCTGGCAGATTTTCTTCTACACGTGAAGCTGTCTGGTGGATTGTTTGCCCCAGTTTATGGGGAGCATGGAGGGAAGAAAAGCAGGACAAAGACAAGGGTGACATCTGGTGGGGTCCTTGAGCTATTTCCAAAATGTTCTGAGGTTCCTTCGCATCCCTACACTTACCCTGAGGCTTCTGTCTCATGTTCCTCTTGCCCTGTTATATCAGAGTGAAATCAGAGGGAATGTCCAGTTTCACATATGAACTTCATGTTGCCTTTTGTGACTTCTAATACCCATCCCAAATGTGCCATGAATCTTCAGTCTAACTTGGTTTTATAAATATGCCATTTTGGGCATGGGGGGTGGAGGAGGTAGTTACTGGTGGGCAAGACTCCCATTGTTGGGGGATGTAAATGAGTGTTGCAGGGAAAAGGGGTTTAATGGTGGGAAGGCCTGCGGTAAAGTTACATAGATGGGCAGTGGCGGTGTCAGGCTTTCTCAGGGCTTCTGGGAGGACTGGGTGGTACCCACATTGGCAGGGGCATCTCTCTGGACCAGTGTTTTACAAACCCAGATTTTAGAAATGGTCCTGTGGGAGTAACATAGTTTCAGTTGAGTAAGAAAGCAATTACTATGTTCATAAATACATTTTGTGGCACACCAACTAGTCTTCTCAGTAAATCAAACCAGAAAATGATACTGGTTTCTTTGTTAGGATTGATGGTTATATTTCTAGGTCTGGGTCTCAGTTTTACCATCTCTAAATAAGACCCTACACAAGTAATTTCAGAAATGTTGTTCCAGCTGTAGGTCAGAAAGGAAGGTACTAGACGCCATCCTTTGCATTTCATAAGGTTTTCAGTCCCATCTCTGTAAGAACTGTGCAGGTTCTCTCTGCTCCATTCCATGGGTCCAAAAAAGGGTCTTGACCTCTGGTTGACTTAAGGTGTTTTCTTACTTACCTATTAGATGATATCTTGAGATAATAATCTTTCTAAGTATAAAATGGCTAGAAGTAAAAGTCAGCGCTGGGTGCTAGGCTCTGTCCTCACAGGCTCTCGACACGCACTGTTTTACCTGATTGCCTGATGGCCCGTGAGGCAGGCACCGTTGCTCCCACCATTGTGAAGGTGGGAATATCTGAAGCTTGCTAAGGCTAACTAACTCGCTCAGTGCGTCACATTTACCAGTTGGCTGTGCTCAGATCCCCCTGGTGAGCCCTTGCCTTCACTCAAGCCTCTGTTGCTCCCGCCCTTGCATCATTAAATCCACGGACTCTTGGTCTGTCTCTTAAATGCCTTTTCTGCAGATGTGTTGCCAGAGTGCTCTGACTTTAGACTCTCCCCTGAAGGCTGCCTATCCCCAGTCCCTTTTCCCTCTCTCCTGGTCTTTCTCTGCTTCCTGAGCTCATTTCCTCTCTGTTTCTCATGTACTGCTGCCCCCTTGTCCCAATCCTTCCTAGTCTGCGTTTCCTTCTGTTGTCTCTCGTGGCTGTGTCCATACCCATGGCTTTAGCTATCACCAGGTTGTCCTCCCTTGTCATGCATGTCCAGACCAAGGTCAGTTTACCCCAAACAGGAAACCGAAGTCATCCTTGGTTGGTCCTTCTTCCTTACTCCCTGTGTCCTGCTGGGGGTCAGGCTGACTTTCTCTTCTTCCTCTCTCACAGCCCCGTGCCTTCTCCTCTCCCTCTGCCTCTAACTGAGCACAGAGAACTGCGCAAGTTCTGACTCAGATTATTCAGTGTCTTCTCATGTTCCGCTGGAGGCTCTGAATTTATGTCTAAGCATTCTGAAGCATCATGCTAAGCACAGGCACTGTGGTGCAGAACAAAATACACATGGTCCCTGCCTGCCAGAGCCAGTTATTTAGTGGGGGAGGTAGACATTGAATAATACAACAGGAGCCACTATAAATTGCTGTTATTTGCCTGTGGCTGTTCCAAGTGCTCATATGTGAACTTGTTCAGTCCTCACAAGAGCCCTATAATGTAGATGTTTTCTTCATTCTATCCATTTTTCAGATGAGGAAAGTGAGGCAACTCCCCCAGGCTCCACAGCTTCTGAGTGCAGAGCCGCGTTCAGACTCAGGGTGTTTGGCTCCAGAGACCATGTCATTTCCTGTTTTATACTGTCTCTGTTCTTGCTGTGCTGTTTTTAAAGACATGATTACAAGTTCATTGGCCATGAAGCAAAAGAGAATACAAGGAGCTGTGTGGGTGTGCATACCTGTGGAGAGTATAGGAAGGGACTAAGAGAGGAATTCAGGGGATTTTGCTCTGAGGAGGAATCTATTTAATCTGAAGCTGAAAAAAAACTATCTAAAAGTGTGTGGCCAGGGAGGGCCTTTTTCCAGGCAGTGGAATAAGCCAAGTCCCTGAGTCAAGAAAAAGAGCCTGGTAGGGACAGGGGAAGTGGAAGAGCAGTGCGGCCTCAAGGCAGAGGAGGTTGAGGGAGAGCAGTGAGTGGCAGGTGGTGAAGCTGCAGGGGTGGGCAGGGGGCCAGGCAGGGGAGGACCAGGGTTGGCATTTGGCATGTGACCGTCAAGTCTGAGAGAAACTGGGGTTATGGCTTCATCTCCCTCCAGTATATTCCTGTGCTACTGTGTATTCCAAGACAGAAATCTCCCTACTGCCATGCCAAGAGGTTCCTTTCTCCATGTGTGGTTCCTACTATTCTTTGCTGGTAAAAGTACACAGTAAGGTTGAGAAGCAGAAACAGGGATTCTGAGTGGCAGTGTTTTAAATAGTTCCCCATTCATGAAGAACTTGATATTTGTGCTTCTCTGGAAGAACTCAGCATATGTTAGCAGTGTTGCCTCTCTTGAATAGAGGTCAAATGGACCAACTTCCCTTGCATGCTGTTCTTTATGAAGTATTTATAAATATACTGCAGCACATTTCTGAAGTTTATATGTTTTAAAATGTATAAAGAGAATATTTTGCCTTATTTAAGGACTTCTGAATGAATCTAGTGTGGTTTGTTCCTGATACGTAAGCATTACATTTGAACTTCTTTACAGACTGCCCATTTGTTTGTATATCAAGGTGTGTGTAACATTGAATTCTGTTTTTTGTTCTTCAGTTCAGAAAAATACTCAGTATGTTCTGGTGTTTGACTCATTTGTCATTGTGATTTGCTTGGCATCTCTTATTCTATGCACAAGATCCATTGTTCTAGCTCTCAGGTTACGAAAGGTAAGTGTGTGTGTAAATCTTCTCCCTCCCCTCTTGCCCTCACCATTATTTTGTCCAAACAGTAGGCTCCTGACATTGGGTCATCCTGCCCTTTCGGGGTCCCTTGACCAAATCAGAATCTTTGAGTGACTTTCCCCCTATGGGGCATTAATCAACTTGAGGTTGAAGGTGATGTCATAAATCAAATAATTATCCTGCTTAACACTGAGCTAATAAGGTACACAGTGGTGAACTGTCAGACTTCTGAATGTTTCCAGAATAAACGAGACCCTTTTATATTATTCAGGAGTGAGCTTGCGAACAGAGCAATAGCATGTGTGGGTTTCATCTTTTATCTTCAAATCAGAGTTCATTTTGACAGGGAGGCATGGTACATGGATTATAATGAAGCATCAATTACTTTATTCTACTTTTAAATAGTTTTGAAATTCTCCCCTGAGTTTTATTTTACCTTTTTACCCTCTGGGCTTTTGGGAATATATATTCCAGCTCCCCACAAATCTTATTCTAGTTGGTGGCATGTGTGTAAATGCAGATTGGGGTGAGGAAAATTGGAAGTTATTGAAATACCATTTGTAGAACAAGAAAATAGTCCGTGTTCTAATTTTCTTATTCTCGACCTTGCCAACTTACTTTGTAAATACCCACTTCTCTTTATCTGCCCCTCCAAGTCTCTTGATATTCTGAATCCAAGATCAGGGTCCCTGTTCTGCTAAAGGGGGGAGTGACGTTGGGGACACACACACTGGGGCGCCGTTGCCTGGACCCAAACCCTGGCTTGGTTCTCTGTGCCTCAGTTTCCTCCTCGGGAAATAGGACTAAATAGTGCCTGGTTCACAGGGTTGCTATTAGACTGAGTGAGTTGGTGGTAATATGTAAAGTACTTGGCATGTACTGTATGTTAGCTATTATGACAAGAGCTGGTTGGCATTAGAACATAAGCATTTAATGCTTGAGCTAACAGGCACCTGACTGCTTCCTGCTAGCTGGGGTAGATGAGGGGCAGAAAAGTGTGCCATAATCTCCATCAAGTTGGAACTCACCATATCGTTTTATGGGTAAGAGCACTGGTTTGCGCTTATGTTCTTCCTCCAGAGGGCATTGGTGTTTGTAAGAAATGCCTTTTAAAATGTTTGCCACAGAGATTCCTGAATTTCTTCCTGGAGAAGTACAAGCGGCAGGTGTGTAACTCTGACCAGTGGAAGTTCATCAATGGATGGTATGTCCTGGTGATTATCAGCGACCTCATGACAATAATTGGATCCATATTAAAGATGGAAATTAAAGCAAAGGTAAGGGGTAACTCATTTTAAATCTCTTGCTCTTTCTGTTCTTCTGGATGACCTTAGGCGCCTTAAGATATAAAACCCTTCTGGTGATTAGTTTGATTTTCATGTTTCCTTTTTTCTCACCTCCATAAAAATAAAGCTTCTTCTGACTTAATTCCTTGTGAAGGGAAAATAAGGAAGTTGGTGATCTGTGGAAGATCAGTTCTATTCCCATAACTATCCCCCAGGAAACTTGACAGCACCTTAGGAATAGGAACTGAAGTTTGAGGGTTGTTTGGGGGGCCTTCATTTTTCTTCTTCTTTACATTGCAAAAAGAGCCGCTGAGCCCTGAAGCGAATGGTCAGTGGGCACTGCCTTGACAGGGCTGAGGGCAGGGATATTTGAGTGCGTCTTAGGTGCCTGACACTGGGCTGCTGTTGTTAGTGGGTTTCATCTCATGACTAAATCTTGACTCCCCCTTCACCCAGCCGTCGTCCCATCTGTGCTCTGCTGTCAGTCAGCAAGGCTCACCAGCTTTCCTCCTGAACCTAAAGGGCCTCCCTTCTCTTATGCCTGCCGCTCTGGCTTCCTTCGGGCTGTCCTCCTCTCTGACCTGGGCTACTGCTACAACAGTCTCCTCACTCATTTTCCCAACTTCAGCCTTAGATCCCTCAGGTCCAGCCATACAGCTGTCACAGTAATTTTCCTGGAAGTGTCTAAACCCCCTCTGTCTCATGGGGCCCCGTCAAGGAGGAAGCAGCTTCCCCCAGCGTGGCCTCCAGGGACCCTGCCTCTAGCTCTCTCGCCCTCCCCACCCCATCAGTGCTGCCCCATAGGCTCTCAGCCTTGTGCCCGTGTTCAGCCTTTGCCTGTTTACCTGCCGCACCCTCTCCCACCCTATTCCCCCGGCCCAGCTCCACTCCGGGGTCATGCCCATGGAAAGCCCTTTGTGACAAGCCTAGCATTGTGTCTCTCATTGCATTTAGCATATTATATTAGAATTGTGCCTGTGTGTCTTTCTCCTTAGTTAGACCTAGAAATCCTTGACAGCATTAACTGTGTTAGCAAATCACATTTGATCTTTCTTTCAAAAGTAGCTGAATGATATCATCTGATATTTAACAAACACCATTAGTTTATATTTTTGAATGCCTAGATTAGTGGTAAATACATTTTCTACTTCAGGATTATTTGAACAACAACAAAAAATCAGTTCAACCAATTGAAACTCTAAAAGAAAATGAGCAACATGTTTGGAATTGTGCTCTCTATTCTTCCTTTAAAGAACGCGAGTATCACCTATTAAGAGGCAGGTGATCCAGTCCTTACCAGTCAATGTAAAGTGAGATTAATAAGCTGAGTGGAGTAGAACATTTCACTCATATGTCTGTTTTTCATTCCTTAGAACCTCATGGATTACGATCTGTGCAGCATTTTGCTTGGAACGTCTACTCTTTTTGTCTGGGTTGGAGTCATCAGATACCTGGGTTACTTCCAAGCATATAACGTAAGCATGTGGCCTGGGGTAGTGCCCTGGGATTGAGATTCATTTTTCCTTTGTGTTCGAGTGAGCTACTTCTAAATTTCTCCCACTCTGTTGATTTTTTTTTTCCAGGTGCTCATTTTAACGATGCAAGCTTCACTGCCAAAAGTTCTCCGCTTCTGCGCCTGCGCTGGTATGATCTATCTGGGCTACACGTTCTGTGGCTGGATTGTCTTAGGACCATATCATGACAAGGTACTAATTCTTCCTTCCACAAATTAGGCTCTTGAGAACCTTAAAAGTGAGTTCTAGCATTTACCTTTTTCCCATTTCCCTCAAGCACATACACTTGATGTCAGTAAGCACGCATCTATGCATCTGCTTTTTCTTTCCTTTTCAAGATATTGAAACAAGAACTGCAAGAGATGGGAGAGTACATTCCCTACTTGCTCAGAACTGGCTTATGGGGTCATACATTAACTCAGCCAATCGTCCAGTGAAAAATGTTTGAACTTGAGATCACTATAGCAGAATTGAAAAAAATGATAATAATGAGGAAAATTGTTACAAAATATTTCTTACTTAAAGTATTGGAGCTGGCAGGCAAATTAATTGAGGAGAATGAAGGTGGACAAAGCCTTCCCAGAACGACCATATTAGACTTTTGATTAAAATGGTAACACATCTTATTTTTGTAGGTGGTTTTGAATACAGTATCATCTCAGTGCCTTATTAAAGATCAATATCTGAATTCAGAACTATTACTAGGTTGCAGCCAGCATCATGTTCTCTAGGACATCAAGGCTATGTTCAGACATTCTTGTTTTAAAATGATAAATTTGATTGATAGATACCTCAGGAAACGAAATTGAAATTAAGTAGGCCTTGTTTTCAAACCAGGAAAAGTAAAAGGAATCATTGCATCTTATAATTTTTCTTCCATGGGCCTCTGACAGTTGGGACAGCAAAAACAACAAAAATAAAAATAATAGCAGCTAACACCTGATGCTTATATGTTAGACATTACACTAAGCATTTCTGTCTCCCCTTTGTTTAATCTTTTCTACAGACTGGGATGCTATTATCTTGTCTTAGGTTCTCTGCAAGGAGAAAAGAGGCTGAAAAAAACAAAGGATTTCACTGAAGCTTGTATAACAGTTCAGCCTCAAGTTTTGATGTTGATAGTTACATTAAATAAAACATGATCAAATCTGTTTTATAAATATTAAAAAAAAAGTGAGCAATCCACAAACTTCAGATTTTCCCTATTGTCATACTAAAATAAGTCCTAGTAACCTGGCACATACCCAGGCTTTTTTCTCTTTGAGTGTTACATTCAATGTCCAAATAGAATTACTGTTTATCTATTTGAGAATCTCTGGGTTAATAGTAAAATTGATAATCTTATCGCTCTACTAATGCCATACCACTGTGTTAAAGATAACTCATTAGTAAGAATTGTTCTTTGAGAGGATCCCTCTGATCTGAGGAACTTACTGTCTTAGAGCCCAGGAAAATTTACATTTTTCTTTCTTACTTGCCTGACGCTCTGAATGCTTTCTGCATATATGTCACAAGAGGGCAGTGTTGTACCATGTGGAATAAATACTGAGCGTAAGAATTTTGGCTTTGATTCACTGGCTCCAAGTCTTCACCTCAAGTGTTCCAGTGTCCTTTACCCTCCATCTCACCTACCCCATTAGGGACTTGGCTATCCTCTGACCCACAGTGACTCAATGGATATCCGACTCTACTGCTAAAGACAGAATTTGGTTCAAAATTCTATAGTAACTTTTTCCATTTGTGTTTCTGAAAGCTGTATTGTCTTTTGCCCGTTATTAGGTCACTACTGTTCCTTGGATAGAAGTTTTTCACATTCATCTAACACTTAACCCTCGGGCCCTAGAGCTATTAGTTTATGAAGCATCTCCTGTTTGTTTTATTTGACATGGCAGTAGTTTGTCAACCACTTAAAGCCAGGGTGGCTACGGTCTCCAGTCATTTTCCACACCAGCCGCCGCTTGCCAGCTGCACTCCAGTCCAGGTGTCAGCCTCACTTAACTACTTCATAGCAGCATTCCTACCTGTTACCTCAAACCCACCTCATCTAAAACCAAGCCCATTAATAGCCCCTTCCCCTTGCTTTCCCCTCAGTTCCTCCACTTCCCTGTCTCTCCTGGGTTCCTTGCAGTCCTGGGCTCCTGCACTGCCCTCTCACTGGCATTGCTGTCCCTGGGCTTTCCCATTCTAATAAATCTTCAGCATGCCTTAGTTGCCTTGTTGGAAACACAGATCAGATCATGTCATTCCTCCAGCTGAAGCTTTTCACTAGTTTCAGTTGTGGCCTGTATCAGCTTGAAGTCTGTGAAAGGCCAGCAAGGCCCCCTGTAGTGCAGCACAGACACACCGTCCAGCCACCGTCTAGGCTCAGAGCCATATCCACCCCATACTCGCTGAGCAGCTCCCTCCTGTTCTGTCACTGGTGAGCTGCTCAACCTTTGGGTCCTAGTCCTGAGGGTCACTTTTTCTCAAAAGCCCACCCCAGCTCCACCACAGGGCACTGTAATACATCTTGGGTGTGGCCTGTCCCCTGCTGGCTTGGGGGCCCGTAGGAGACACCAGCCAGGATCATTCATCCTTTGACACTTTCCTCCCTTTGGTTATCTTTAGTTTTTAATATGCTGAAATTACTTACACCTGTGGTCGGAAAGGCCACAGTGAAACCATTCATTTAGCAAACTTTTATTGAGCCTGCACAGTATCTCAGGTACTTCCCTCCTCGCTGGTGTAGAATACAGTGGCTACAGTTCTTTCCCAATGCAGTTCGGTGGAGTGTAGCCTTGAAAATGTTGACTGCTCAGCCCTAGTGAAAGAGAAAGGAATCATGCTTGGGAATGCTCACTACATTCTTTGTATCAGCAACATTACTGAGATGGCCAATGACAGAGAAATGGTTAAATTCTACACTTCTAAGGAACGGTCTTGGTCTGTTATATAACAAATGTTCTCTAAGTGTGAATAACATACAATGATGATAAGCAGGAAAAAATTATCAGGATCAAAAATGGTTAGATGATATGACCACAAATATCTAAAAGGTGCCAAGGGAAAAACTGGGGGAAATGTTAAGAGATTATCTTTGTGAGTGGGGAGGAGAGTTTTGAATAATATTTTCCTTACGCTATTTTAGATGTCTTGAGTGTTACTTAATAATAATAATGGTAATGATGTTGATTATTAATAACAACTTCAACAAACCAACTAACTAGATGTTTCTCTGCTCTGTTGAATAATCACTCTCAAAAACTAATTTTGCTCCTCCCACTGCAGTTTGAAGATCTGAACATTGTTGCCGAATGTCTCTTTTCTCTGATCAATGGTGATGACATGTTTGCGACTTTTGCTCAAATCCAGCAGAAGAGCATCTTGATGTGGCTGTTCAGTCGCCTGTATTTATATTCCTTCATCACTCTTTTTATATATATGATTCTTAGCCTTTTCATTGCACTTATTACAGATTCTTACGACACCATTAAAGTAAGTAATCATCAGTATTTCCTGCCAAAAAGCTACTGCAAATTCTGTATGGGTTCAAACTTAGAAAATACTGCATTTTTAACTTAACATGCTGCGATTTTACTCAGACTTTGAGGTTTTGTAGAAAAGAAGCCTTCTAGGTGCTAGAGGTTAATTTAATGCAGGTGAAATTGTCCCTGTCACCCAGGTCAGAGTAGAGTGGTTGGGAGGTGTGTGGGAAAGAGAAAGGTATTAGGGAAGGGTGGCTGAGTTTGGTAAATCGAGTTGTTGGGCTGTGGGTCTCAGCACTCTCGGGGAACCTGCCTGTCCTGGGACTTAGGCTTTGGGTAGTGAGTCTTGGTTATGAGGGGTGACTGCCACCCCAACAACTGTCTGGATACAGACACACATATACACTGGACAACATAGCTCCTTGTGTGGTGGGAAATTCATGGTTTCATTTAAATTATGAAAGTGAAGGCTTTTGTGGCTGCTTAGCTTCTTCCCTTCCTAGGCCGCCCAGTGGGTCCTGTATCCTTGATTTGTAGCTTGAAGAAAGTTCTGCCACTGGTGGTGCTATGTCCACAGCAGATGGTCACACTTGGAAAAGCCGATTTCAGGGCAGTATCTGGGCCACCAGCAGTGCCACATCAGTGCCTCGGGGTATTGCCCTCTTCTTAAACCCTTCTCAACCTCACTCAGAAGAAGCCAGTCCATTGGAAATACTCCTGAGTGCTTTGTGTGTCTGGAGATTAGTGTTCACATGGGAGTGGGTAGCTGGATCGAGCCCTGGGATGACCACGGAGGAGGGGCTGCATACTCCTGCCCTGGGGTTTCTGTCCCTGCCATGGCAGTGCCCCTGTTCGGGGGGAGTGGGAGTTCCAAGCTTTGCTGATGTGGAAGATGACCTCGCTAAGCATTAGGTGAGGGGATCTCAGGGTCTTTGTATCTTCTTGGAAGAACATAGTGCCTTCTGCCCCACTAAGTGACCAATTGCAATAAAAATAGAGGAAATAGAGATTACTTCCTCTGCAGATGCTACACTGGGAAGTCTTATCTGGTTTGCAATTAGCATTAAAAACTTCAGACTTTTAACTGTTTCCTTCATTGCCCTTATTAAGAACACCCCTTCCCTGCCCCACCCTAGCTTCTTTCTGAAGTTTTCCTCTGAGCTTGTTCTCTGTTCCCACAGAGGCCCTGGCCTGGCCTTCTGGGCCTGACACATTAATTCATCATTGTTAATACCAGTTCTTGGATCTGAGCTACCAATGTGGGAGAGTTTTATACCAGCAAATGTGGGCTTGGTTTATTGATAAAGGGAGCAATTTCTCATGCCCTACAAAATAAGATAACAATTCTGTGTACTTTTTAAAGAAATACCAACAGAGTGGATTTCCTGAAACAGATCTTCAGGAATTCCTGAAGTCTGTTACCTCAAACCCACCTCATCTAAAACCAAGCCCATTAATAGCCCCTTCCCCTTGCTTTCCCCTCAGTTCCTCCACTTCCCTGTCTCTCCTGGGTTCCTTGCAGTCCTGGGCTCCTGCACTGCCCTCTCACTGGCATTGCTGTCCCTGGGCTTTCCCATTCTAGTAAATCTTCAGCATGCCTTAGTTGCCTTGTTGGAAACACAGATCAGATCATGTCATTCCTCCAGCTGAAGCTTTTCACTAGTTTCAGTTGTGGCCTGTATCAGCTTGAAGTCTGTGAAAGGCCAGCAAGGCCCCCTGTAGTGCAGCACAGACACACCGTCCAGCCACCGTCTAGGCTCAGAGCCATATCCACCCCATACTCGCTGAGCAGCTCCCTCCTGTTCTGTCACTGGTGAGCTGCTCAACCTTTGGGTCCTAGTCCTGAGGGTCACTTTTTCTCAAAAGCCCACCCCAGCTCCACCACAGGGCACTGTAATACATCTTGGGTGTGGCCTGTCCCCTGCTGGCTTGGGGGCCCGTAGGAGACACCAGCCAGGATCATTCATCCTTTGACACTTTCCTCCCTTTGGTTATCTTTAGTTTTTAATATGCTGAAATTACTTACACCTGTGGTCGGAAAGGCCACAGTGAAACCATTCATTTAGCAAACTTTTATTGAGCCTGCACAGTATCTCAGGTACTTCCCTCCTCGCTGGTGTAGAATACAGTGGCTACAGTTCTTTCCCAATGCAGTTCGGTGGAGTGTAGCCTTGAAAATGTTGACTGCTCAGCCCTAGTGAAAGAGAAAGGAATCATGCTTGGGAATGCTCACTACATTCTTTGTATCAGCAACATTACTGAGATGGCCAATGACAGAGAAATGGTTAAATTCTACACTTCTAAGGAACGGTCTTGGTCTGTTATATAACAAATGTTCTCTAAGTGTGAATAACATACAATGATGATAAGCAGGAAAAAATTATCAGGATCAAAAATGGTTAGATGATATGACCACAAATATCTAAAAGGTGCCAAGGGAAAAACTGGGGGAAATGTTAAGAGATTATCTTTGTGAGTGGGGAGGAGAGTTTTGAATAATATTTTCCTTACGCTATTTTAGATGTCTTGAGTGTTACTTAATAATAATAATGGTAATGATGTTGATTATTAATAACAACTTCAACAAACCAACTAACTAGATGTTTCTCTGCTCTGTTGAATAATCACTCTCAAAAACTAATTTTGCTCCTCCCACTGCAGTTTGAAGATCTGAACATTGTTGCCGAATGTCTCTTTTCTCTGATCAATGGTGATGACATGTTTGCGACTTTTGCTCAAATCCAGCAGAAGAGCATCTTGATGTGGCTGTTCAGTCGCCTGTATTTATATTCCTTCATCACTCTTTTTATATATATGATTCTTAGCCTTTTCATTGCACTTATTACAGATTCTTACGACACCATTAAAGTAAGTAATCATCAGTATTTCCTGCCAAAAAGCTACTGCAAATTCTGTATGGGTTCAAACTTAGAAAATACTGCATTTTTAACTTAACATGCTGCGATTTTACTCAGACTTTGAGGTTTTGTAGAAAAGAAGCCTTCTAGGTGCTAGAGGTTAATTTAATGCAGGTGAAATTGTCCCTGTCACCCAGGTCAGAGTAGAGTGGTTGGGAGGTGTGTGGGAAAGAGAAAGGTATTAGGGAAGGGTGGCTGAGTTTGGTAAATCGAGTTGTTGGGCTGTGGGTCTCAGCACTCTCGGGGAACCTGCCTGTCCTGGGACTTAGGCTTTGGGTAGTGAGTCTTGGTTATGAGGGGTGACTGCCACCCCAACAACTGTCTGGATACAGACACATATACACTGGACAACATAGCTCCTTGTGTGGTGGGAAATTCATGGTTTCATTTAAATTATGAAAGTGAAGGCTTTTGTGGCTGCTTAGCTTCTTCCCTTCCTAGGCCGCCCAGTGGGTCCTGTATCCTTGATTTGTAGCTTGAAGAAAGTTCTGCCACTGGTGGTGCTATGTCCACAGCAGATGGTCACACTTGGAAAAGCCGATTTCAGGGCAGTATCTGGGCCACCAGCAGTGCCACATCAGTGCCTCAGGGTATTGCCCTCTTCTTAAACCCTTCTCAGCCTCACTCAGAAGAAGCCAGTCCATTGGAAATACTCCTGAGTGCTTTGTGTGTCTGGAGATTAGTGTTCACATGGGAGTGGGTAGCTGGATTGAGCCCTGGGCTGACCACGGAGGAGGGGCTGCATACTCCTGCCCTGGGGTTTCTGTCCCTGCCATGGCAGTGCCCCTGTTCGGGGGGAGTGGGAGTTCCAAGCTTTGCTGATGTGGAAGATGACCTCGCTAAGCATTAGGTGAGGGGATCTCAGGGTCTTTGTATCTTCTTGGAAGAACATAGTGCCTTCTGCCCCACTAAGTGACCAATTGCAATAAAAATAGAGGAAATAGAGATTACTTCCTCTGCAGATGCTACACTGGGAAGTCTTATCTGGTTTGCAATTAGCATTAAAAACTTCAGACTTTTAACTGTTTCCTTCATTGCCCTTATTAAGAACACCCCTTCCCTGCCCCACCCTAGCTTCTTTCTGAAGTTTTCCTCTGAGCTTGTTCTCTGTTCCCACAGAGGCCCTGGCCTGGCCTTCTGGGCCTGACACATTAATTCATCATTGTTAATACCAGTTCTTGGATCTGAGCTACCAATGTGGGAGAGTTTTATACCAGCAAAATTGGGCTTGGTTTATTGATAAAGGGAGCAATTTCTCATGCCCTACAAAATAAGATAACAATTCTGTGTACTTTTTAAAGAAATACCAACAGAGTGGATTTCCTGAAACAGATCTTCAGGAATTCCTGAAGGAATGCAGCAGCAAAGAGAAGTATCAGAAATAGTCCCTGGCCTTCCTGTCCTGCGCCTGCTGCCTGAGGTCAGTACTGTTTTGTCAGGTCTCTGGGCCCCTGAAATGAGCTGCTCTGCTTCCTCAGCAAAGAGTTCTTCCAAAGCCAACACGACACTCAGAAATCAGCTTATTGTGGGAAATAATCTTTCATTTCTTTCCTCCCACTGAAATTGGCTTTAGAAATTAATATTGCTTATAAAATGGGGTAGAAAACCACATGTCATGGTTAAAATCTCTCAGGAATATTATGAGCCTCCATGAGAAGGCATGAATTCTGTCCCTAAAGTCAAAAGGGCGTACGTACTCTTAACTAGCCAGACTAAGAGGTCAGAGCCCCTTTTTTAGAGGTAAAGCTCTGGGAATGTCAAAGGACTTTTTCCCCTTTCCACAGTACGTGGTACAAACAACCTCTCTTGAACAAAGCAGGAAACCTGCTTGACAGGAGGCTGTGCATGTGCTTGGTTTCATTGAGCAGCTGTTCATTAGGATTCTCAGAGAAATGGTCTGCACCTCAGTGGCAAAGCATCTATGTAGTGGTTTGGGGGTCTAGGAGGGTCAGATGAGGATAGTTTTCCTAATTGTAACCAGGTTTGTTTTCATCTGAAGTCAGAGATGGGAGTTGTTAGCTAAAAATATCCCCTATCCATGTTTATTGAGAATTCCATAAACCAAATTCCTGAAAGAAGATGGAAGAACATAATTGCTACTTAAAAACCACAGGATGTATTTTTTGTTAATTAATTCATACCACAGCTTGGGATTTGAAATGATATGATTGAACATTTTCAAAAAAGGTCTGGTAAATATGAAATGAGGTCTTCTGAGAAAAGTTGTTTTTAAAACCATACTTCATCCTCTCAGAGCATTAAATTGTTGCTATGGAAGCTGGGATAAAGGGAAATTAGTTTTCCTAATAGGCAGCTGCTTCCTAAGAGGCACCTTGTATAAAGAAAGTCTCTAATAGTTGCTCTTCTAATATGTAGTTAAGTGTAAAACAAAATATTCATTAGAGAATGTACTGTGAATTCTGGAAAGTAACCAAAGGCTTTGGGTGTTTTTTATTTGGACCTTAGTTTGCACCACAGCCCCAGGAGGTTGTTAAATGTTTTCTTGTGCAGCCATACAGGACAAGTGGATGATTTAAGGGGTGGATGAGATGACTCACTGATAAGATCGGGTCTGAGAGGTGGGAAGAAGGGGGCAACATAGCAGATAGTTTGCCATCAGGTGAGCTCAGGGCTGTCGAGAGGGTGGCCTTGTTTGAAGGAGGGTCTGCCCATCATGAGGAGTAAAAGAATTAAATGGAACAAGAGAATCCACCAATGAAATTGTCTGAAGAACTAAGGTGTTGAAAGTTTTGAAAAAAAGGATATAAAAAAAAGAAACCAGAAATGTCTGTGACTAAAGACAGTCATGAGTGAAGTCAGCTAGAGCAGTCTTAGTCGAATAGCCAGATCAAAGACCAGATGGTTTGGGTGGACCCTGCAGAGGGTAGATGAAGGCCACAGGGTCAGTGAAGGAAACAGACCGTACCTGGGCCTTGAGAACAAATGATGGCCTAAACTCTTCAAACATTAACTGCAGCTGTATGTGTTTAAAGGCTGGAAACCTAAGAATGGAAGAAAATGGAGGAAGGCTGTGACTGGAGACTAAATATTGGAGAAACATCTCACTGAGGGAACCCAGGGAGCAAGGTCATCACACATTTGGTGGCTGGGCACCTCCCGAGTGCCCATGATGGACAACCCCAGTGAGCACAGCTCCACCTCCTGCAGGCAACAGGCTCGCTTTTTTCAGCTGACCAGTCTGGCAACCACCACAGACTAATTCTCCTTTGAATTGTTCTCAGAACCTCAAGCCTGATCATCAGAACATGTGGTCTTTCATTTTGGACTCTGCCAGTTATCAAATGTGTCCCATGACCTAAACCTCTTGGTTCCTCCAGTGTCATCAGGGTGGAACAGATGACCTCTGACACCTCTTCCAATTCTAATGTGACACAGTTCTTTGGAAAGGTATGCTAGGTTGAACATATGCAGAGTTAACTTTTCTCCTTCTTATGGCAGTGAAGGAGGAAAATCTGCTGTTCTAGCCTTTGAGAAGGCTTTGACAAAGAAGGGAAATAGAAGGTCCCAAGAGGTGGACAATTCCTCAAAATTGCCAGAGTGTCTACTCAAAAAAAAAAATACTGTAAATTGTCCTTCTTATGTTTTCTTCTCTTATCTTTTGCCCTCAGAATGTCTATAATCAATGCATGCCTAGAATACAGAGTATTCCTATGCCACCTCAAATACTTAAAAATCATTGTTCTCTTTTCCATTTCCTCCTGCCCGATTCTGTTACAGGAAAGGAAGTGATGACCACTTGATATTTGTTAACTACAATTCTTTTGCTAAAGGTAATCAAATTTTAGGCCTCCTTATCCAGTGACAACACAGAGAGACCCAAAAAAACTTTGACCAGGACTTCCAAAAATACTGACTTATTTAATCATGGAGTTTAGAAAGAGGACTGTCAGCTGACTGACCATAACTGAAATTCCAAAGTTCCTTTCTGTAAACTTGATGATGGAGAATAAACCACAGTCAATTACAGGCATTAGTACAATAGAGGAATGAAAATGAAATTCTGGATTAGTCTTTTAATTTAGGACATCATAATGTTGGTATGAAAAAATTACATTTCAGAGTATGCAAAACAACATGATGTTTAAAGCTGTGCTTTAAAGATGTGTGTTTGTCATCAAATAAAGGTTTGTTTTACAACAGTAGACTCACAGACACTGAGAAGCAACTAGTGGTTACCACAAGGGAGGGATTGGGGTGGGGGGTTGGGAAGGGTGAAGGGGATAAAGGGGCACAAAATTTCTCAATCATAATGTGATTGATCACAGGGATGGTAATACAGCATGGAGAATATAATCAGTGATTCTGTAACATCTTTCTATGTTGACAGATAGTAACTGCACTAGTGGGGGATGAAGGTTTAATAATATCGGTAACTCTTAAATCGCTGTGTTGTATATTTGAAACCAATTTAAGATGGTATATCAATGATACTTCATAAAAAATAAATTAGTTTGTCTTAAAAATGAGATTCTTAGGTTGGAAAAGTATGGGGAAAATGAAAGTTGCCTTGGCCAGTATCTTCACCTGACCCCAAACTACTTGATTATGTAACTGGCCTACTGCTAGGCCACTGTTTCCACACCCATAGGCAATAAGGTATTATTTACTGAGTCACCATATCAAGAGCTCCACCCAGTGCTCTGCGCAGAGGTGGAAATGAGGTGGATTACGACCTGCAGGCTGCTGGATGTAGCAAGTTACTTTCTGCTTCTAAGTGATGGTGATAAGCCTCAACAAACTGTAGACTGGAATTTAAGTCAGATAACTCATGAAAAATCTGGCACTGAATTGAAATTGTGATTGAAACCTGAGCTGCTCTTTCCTTTTGCTTTTCTGTCATTGTTTGTAAGTAGGTTCCTTGGGAACATGATTCTAGTGCTCGACCTACAGCCATGAGAATAAAGCCTGCTAAAAACCCTTTTACCCCAAGAATGTTCTGTTGTCCTTTCTGGGTCTCACTGAATCCATAGTGAACTTGCCTGGGGCTGAAACTTTCAAGCAAGACAAAGATATTTGTTAATTTATTGTTCTTCACAGAAATGAAGTTGGTTGCAATACCAAATTAGAAACTCCAAGCTGAAGAATTATCAAGCCATTTAAAGATCACACTTGAAAAAAAAAACCCACTTGCAGTGGACATTTTCTGGCATATTTTCCTGTGGTCTTCTTTACACGATATAAAGTAGCCATTGGCATTGGGAGTGAGATGAATCTGAAACCATGATCTGGACACCTCTTCACTTGTGCTGATTGCTGATTTTACACACATGACATGAGGAAGTAAATGGCAGCGGTCACTCATTTTAACAGTTGAACTTCACTATGGTGGGGATTTATCTTGTCAAGCAAGGAAAGGTGGTATTTTTATTTCCCAAAGACATTTATTTTTATCATAACATGTGGAACTACTACTATTTTTTTAAATGCAGTATTTCTGAACATCTACCTAGTAAAAAAATTCAGATCAAATCTGTATTCACTATCTGGTTTCCAAAAGGGACCTCCCACTTTCTTAAAAGCAGTAAAGGAGGTAGAGGGACTAGTGTATAGATGTTCTTCAATAAATGCTTATGATAATGACTTTGGATTAAGATCGTCTCCTGCATAGAGTCATACATGAGCTATCTTAGTAGTAACTCTTACATTTATTGGGGAAAAGGAGAATTTGAGTTTATCAGGGCACTCATGCCAGGGCTCTCCCTCTTTCATCACTGCCCCTCCCCACCAGACCCCTATCAGATTTTCCTTATGTTCCCTTCCCTCCCCTTGTCCCCACTGTCTCCACATGCCCACACCAAATCTAGGCTGGAAAAATCATCCTGTTAATACCACTGAAATTTGCAATGAGTGACTCACACCTACACACAGAACACATTGTCAAATTGATCATTTTAGTTAACTTGTTTTCTTACAAACAACAGCAAGAATTATATCTGGCTTTTAAACTAAGCACCATGTAACTAGTGGCTCTCTAGGGTCATTACCACGGCGCCAGAATCGGGTGCAATGAGATCACTGTTCCCTTCGGAGTACACTCCCAGGGCTTAGATTGTCTGGCTAGAATGGCTATGGAGGCCTTTTCTGTGATCTGCAGCCACGACTGCCATATGAATAGAAGAGTAATGTTGGTCTTCCATGCTCTTGTTTTCCTTTTATTGCTTTTCATGTTTCCTTTTATTTCTTTTCTCTCCAGCTGGACAAAACACTTTCAGGAAGAAAAATATTTTTCAAGGTTACCTTGTTTCTGTGGAAGCATTGTTTCCTGTCTTTTTAATAATTTTAAACACTTGTCATTTTACCGACTTTATTATCTGTTTGAGTTTTATTGAACAATGTTGTTCTCATAACTCTGCTAATAGACACACCTGGGACAAACCATTTGTCTCCTATCTGAGGCCTCCACTTGGAGAGTTCCCTGTGAACTGTATCTCCTTAGCTTGCAGTAACACCCTCAAAGCCAGATGCAACGTCCTTAAGCCTGTTGACTTGGGGTGGTAGGAAAGAACATGGGTGCAGGAGTTATCTAGGCAGACTTGAGTTAAAATCCCAGCTTACCCTCCAGCTCTGTGGCCTTGGACAAGTTACTTTCTGCTTCTAAGTGATGGTGATAAACCTCAACAAACTGTAGACTGGAATTTAAGTCAGATAACTCATGAAAAACCTGGCACTGAATTGAATTTGGGATTGAAACCTGACCTGTTCTTTCCTTTTGCTTTTCTGCCATTGTTTGTAAGTAGGTTCTATGGAAACAGGAACAGTGAAAACATTTAAGGTGTTTCCTCTGCATCCTTTCCCTGGGCTCCTGTCCTTCTGTCTGAGTCTCCTTGGACCAGGCTCACAGGACTTCTGTTTCTTCATCTGTAAAATGGGGATTATAGGATTTAATGAATCAAACATAAGGTGCATAGAACAGGACATGACTTATAAGTGCTTGGTGAATATTAGACCTTCAGAAAGGTTTTTTTCACATAGTTTATAAATGTATAGGAAGCCTATTTACCTGGGCCATCCAGAAAGATCTTGATTCTGTAGTGAGCTCACCACATACTTTGTTTTGGTGGATGTTTTCTGTTAGGACTTTAAATGTGTAAGCATGCCACATCTAGCCCTACCCTGGAGGCAAAGGTCAATTTAGCCACCAGGTACTCACTTGTGGTTACAGCCAAGCAGCTTGGACTAGCAGCCTAAAGGCCCTGCCATTAAGGGCAAAGCCGAAGTCCTGATGGGAGGGTTAAGGTCCCTGAGGTGCACAAGCCGTCACAAATCCCCTGTCCCTCACCCTGGGCGAGGCCTCCATTCTGTACTAGGAGGCCTTGCCTTCACCAAACTTGTCGAGAGTTGTAAACTACAAGCCAGCTTGCTTTGCTGCTGCTGATCTGAGGTGGCAAATGCATGAGGGTAAGAGAGGCTATTTGGGAAAAGCTCTTTAGAGATTCCAGTCTCTGCCCCCAACCCTGCTGAGGACCCATTTCATAGCTATGGGGGGGTAGGGGTAGGTGCCTGACCCAAGGGAGGCCTTGGCTCAGCATCTCAGGTTTACTCATGGCACAGAAGCCCAGCCTTTTGAGCTGAGGATAAACAGCCAGTTTCCCTCAAGTGCCTGAAGCCTCTATGTAAAAACAGCCCAGCACTGTACTTGATATTCAGCAGCCTTAGAGTTACTAGAAAAATATGTTCAGTGAACTGCTACTATGGTCTTGACCACAGATTACTGCTGCCAATCTAAAGAGCTGAGATACTTACATGATTCCAGATATCTGAGCAATTCACCCGTGGCCACAAATTATTCCAGAATCATTACAGGACTAGACCCCATTTTATTATTTATCTGTTCCACCATTATTTTCAAGTAACTTCAGCAACGTTTCTTTTGCTACTCCTAAACTGAGCTTCAAACATCTCAACCGCAGTATTGACATGATGCTAAGTCTTTGTCCGTCAAACATCCAAATCTCACACTATTGTTAAAACATGAAGTAGCTCTTGTGTGACAGAATGATTAAGGACCTCACTGAAGAAACCCTAAGCACAGTGTCAGATTTTAGGCACTTAAGGAAGGATAGCAAGTGACATGCACGGGATGGGAAACCAGGGGTTCCATGTGTTGGAGCAAGTCCTGAGCACCTCTGCTTTCCCTTTTCATTTCACGTGAGATGTTCAGAGCACTTGATATTGGTGACATGTGGCTTCGTAGAGGTGACCTGTGCATTCTTGAAGGATCTTGCAGTTGGTTTAATGCTCTGTCTGCACAGTTCTGCAATTCTTAATATATTCTGAGCGGGGAGCCCCAGAAGTTATACAGCAAATTCTGATGATGGACTGTGTAACTCAGTGATTAAACCTGGCCTTTTAGGAAAAGGCTAGGAAGCCAGCATTGTACTTCCTCTTTAAAACAATTTAAATTTTAGAAAAGGAAAGAGGGAACCTGAGTTGGCACCACTTTTTAACAGACAATTGCATGCCATTTTTCTCAGCCTCTGTCCTCACAGATGGGTGGCTGCGGGGCTGCTCGTCTCACAAAGATGACATTAAGCTTCAGAGTTTGGTGACACTGGTCAATGTCATTTCCACTTTGCATCGGCAGGTTGGAAGCTGAGCTGTTCACTGTTTCCCCCATGCCCCACCTCCATCAACAGGCAGGCTCATTTTCCAACTTTTCATTTCATATGTTTCCCTTGACAGAGATTTAGCTTGGGGTGATTCATACTCTAAACTCAAGCATGTTGCCCAGTTGCCATACAACCTCCGACTCTACTCAGCAAAGTCATCTGGGACCTGTTGCACACACTGGATAGTCAAGTA